ATATCCCTGTAAACCCCTCCTAGTATCAAGTTAGATATCCCCATAAACCCCTCCTAGTATCAAGTTAGGTATCCCCTTAAACCCCTCCTAGTATCAAGTTAGATATCCCTATAAACCCCTCCTAGTATCAAGTTAGATATCCCCGTAAACCCCCTCCTATTATCAAGTTAGATATCATAAACCCCTCCTAGTATCAAGTTAGATATCCCAATAAACCCCTCCTAGTATCAAGTTAGATATCATAAACCCCTCCTAGTATCAAGTTAGATATCCCAATAAACCCCTCCTAGTATCAAGTTAGATATGCCAATAAACGCCTCCTAGTATCAACTTAGATATCACCAAAAACCCCTCCTAGTATCAAGTTAGATATCCCAATAAACCCCTCCTAGTATCAAGTTAGATATCCCAATAAACCCCTCCTAGTATCAAGTTAGATATCACCAAAACATAATCTGTCTTCAGGACACCTGCACGGGCATAAACTGCTCCAGGAGCAGCTAATCCCAGCATATAATTTCTTGATTTATAACTTTTCGTATTAAGGTTTATAAGTAATTATTATTAAAGATAATTTTAAGGGTCTAAATCTAAACACTTGTTTTCTGTACACTGCTGTTATATTGCTGTTTGTGAAACACTTGCTATGTTTTTGTTCACGGTACACTTTTACTGTTATGTTCATGGTACACTGTTGCTGTGTGTGGTTCATGGTACACTTTTACTGTTATGTTCATGGTACACTGTTGGTGTTTTGTTGTTTATATTACACTGTTGCTGGTCTGTTGTTCATGGTTCACGTTTACAGTGTTAGTGTTCATGGTACAACGTTGATCTGTTCTTGTTTAATGTACACCGTTGCAATGTTTTCGTTCAAGGTACACCGTAGCAATGTTTTGTTCATGATACACTTTTGTTGTTAATCATGGTACAATGTTGCTGTGTTGTTCATAGTACACTTTGGCTGTGTTCTTGTTCATGATGCAATGCAAATGAGTTTTAATGGTTCACAGTTGCAGTGTTACCTGGTTGATACCTGGTTGATGGGGTTCTGGGAGTTCTTCTACTCCCCAAGCCCGGCCCGAGGTCAGACTTGACTTGTGAGAGTTTGGTCCACCAGGCTGTTGCTTGGAGCGGCCCGCAGGCCCACATACCCACCACAGCCCGGTTGGTCCGGCACTCCTTGAAGGAAACAATCTAGTTTCCTCTTGAAGATGTCCACGGTTGTTCCTGTAATATTTCTGATGCTCGCTGGTAGGACGTTGAACAACCGTGGACCTCTGATGTTCATACAGTGTTCTCTGATTGTGCCCATGGCACCTCTGCTCTTCACTGGTTCTATTCTGCATTTTCCTCCATGTCGTTCACTCCAGTACGTTGTTATTTTACTGTGCAAATTTGGGACCTGTCCCTCCAGTATTTTCCATGTGTATATTATTTGGTATCTCTCTCGTCTCCTTTCTAGTGAGTACATTTGGAGAGCTGTGAGACGATCCCAATAATTTAGGTGCTTTATCTCGTCTATGCGTGCCGTATATGTTCTCTGTATTCCCTCAATTTCAGCAATCTCTCCTGCTCTGAAGGGGGAAGTGAGTACTGAGCAGTACTCAAGATGGGACAACACAATTGATTTGAAGAGTACAACCATTGTGATGGGATCTCTGGACTTGAAGGTTCTCGTAATCCATCCTATCATTTTTCTGGCTGACGCAATACTTGCTTGGTTATGCTCCCTAAACGTTAGGTCGTCGGACATCATTATTCCCAAATCCTTGACATGCTGTTTTCCTTCTATGGGCAGATTCGATTGTGTTTTGTACCCTGTATTATGTTTAAGATCCTCATTTTTGCCGTATCTGAGTACCTGGAATTTATCATCGTTAAACATCATGTTATTTTCTGCTGCCCAATCGAAAACTTTGTTAATATCTGTTTGTAGTTTATCAATGTCTTCAGCAGAGGTAATTTTCATGCCGATTTTTGTATCATCTGCAAAGGATGACACGAAGCTGTGATTTGTGTTTTTGTCTATATCTGATATGAGAATAAGGAACAGCAGTGGTGCAAGGACTGTACTTTGAGGTACAGAGCTTTTAACTGCGCTCGGACTCGATTTTACTTGATTGACTGTTACTCTTAGTGTTCTGTTCGACAGGAAATTGAGTATCCAGCGTCCTACTTTACCAGTTATACCCATTGACCTCATTTTGTGTGCAATCACTCCATGGTCACATGTGTCGAATGCCTTTGCAAAATCTGTGCATACATCTGCATTATGTTTTTCCTCTAATGCCTCAGTGATTTTGTCATAGTGGTCAAGTAGCTGTGAGAGGCATGATCTTCTTGCTCTAAATCCATGTTGGCCTGGATTGTGGAGGTCATTGGTTTTCATGAATCTAGTGACCTGACTCCTGATCACTCTTTCAAATACTTTTATTATGTGGGACGTTAGTGAAACTGGTCTATAATTCTTTGCCAATGCTTTGCTACCACCGTTGTGTAGAGGGGTAATGTCTGCTGCTTTAAGCGCATCTGGTATCTCCCCTGTGTCCAAGCTCTTCCTTCACACGATACAGTGCCTGTGCTACTGGCACTTTGCATTTCTTTATAAATATTGAATTCCATGAGTCTGGACCTGGGGCTGAGTGCATGGGCATATTGTCAATTTCTCTTTCAAAATCTGCCACGCTCGTGTTGATATCAGTTATATTTACAGGTGTTTGAGTATCATTCGTAAAGAAATTGTCCGAATCTCCCACTTTCATGCTGAGAATCGGAGTGCTAAACATGTCTTCATACTGCTTTTTTAGGATTTCACTAATTTCTTTGTCATCCTCAGTGCATGAACCTTCACTAATACGAATATTGTTGTTGTTCATGATGCATTTTTACCGTGTTGTTGTTAATTGTACACCGTTAATATGTTTTATTTATACTACACTTTTACTGTGTTTTTCATTGTACACAGTTAATACGGTGTTGTTCATGGTACTCCGCTGTTGTGTTGTTACCAGACAGAATTACTTACATCAAACCAGACTTAACTACAATTGTAGCCAGACTTAACTACAATTGTAGCCAGACTTAACTACAATTGTAGCCAGACTTAACCACCACTGTAGCCAGACTCAACCACCACTGTAGCCAGACTCAACCACCACTGTAGCCAGACTCAACCACCACTGTAGCCAGACTCAACCACCACTGTAGCCAGACTCAACCACCACTGTAGCCAGACTCAACCACCACTGTAGCCAGACTCACCACCACTGTAGCCAGACTCAACCACCACTGTAGCCAGACTCAACCACCACTGTAGCCAGACACAACCACCACTGTAGCCAGACACAACCACCACTGTAGCCAGACTCAACCACCACTGTAGCCAGACTCAACCACCACTGTAGCCAGACTCAACCACCACTGTAGCCAGACTCAACCACCACTGTAGCCAGACTCAACCACCACTGTAGCCAGACTCAACCACCACTGTAGCCAGACACAACCACCACTGTAGCCAGACTCAACCACCACTGTAGCCAGACTCAACCACCACTGTAGCCAGACACAACCACCACTGTAGCCAGACACAACCACCACTGTAGCCAGACTCAACCACCACTGTAGCCAGACTCAACCACCACTGTAGCCAGACTCAACCACCACTGTAGCCAGACTCAACCACCACTGTAGCCAGACTCAACCACCACTGTAGCCAGACTCAACCACCACTGTAGCCAGACTCAACCACCACTGTAGCCAGACTCAACCACCACTGTAGCCAGACTCAACCACCACTGTAGCCAGACTCAACCACCACTGTAGCCAGACACAACCACCACTGTAGCCAGACTCAACCACCACTGTAGCCAGACTCAACCACCACTGTAGCCAGACACAACCACCACTGTAGCCAGACACAACCACCACTGTAGCCAGACACAACCACCACTGTAGCCAGACACAACCACCAGACTGTAGCCAGACACAACCACCACTGTAGCCAGACACAACCACCACTGTAGCCAGACACAACCACCACTGTAGCCAGACACAACCACCACTGTAGCCAGACAACCACCACTGTAGCCAGACACAACCACCACTGTAGCCAGACTCAACCACCACTGTAGCCAGACACAACCACCACTGTAGCCAGACACAACCACCACTGTAGCCAGACACAACCACCACTGTAGCCAGACACAACCACCACTGTAGCCAGACACAACCACCACTGTAGCCAGACACAACCACAGTAGCCAGACTCACCACCACTGTAGCCAGACACAACCACCACTGTAGCCAGACAACCACCACTGTAGCCAGACACAACCACCACTGTAGCCAGACACAACCACCACTGTAGCCAGACACAACCACCACTGTAGCCAGACACAACCACCACTGTAGCCAGACACAACCACCACTGTAGCCAGACACAACCACCACTGTAGCCAGACACAACCACCACTGTAGCCAGACTCAACCACCACTGTAGCCAGACACAACCACCACTGTAGCCAGACTCAACCACCACTGTAGCCAGACACAACCACCACTGTAGCCAGACACAACCACCACTGTAGCCAGACACAACCACCACTTTTTCATGACTCAACCACCCCTGTAGCCAGACACAACCACCACTGTAGCCAGACACAAGCACCACTGTAGCCAGACACAACCACAACTGTAGCCAGACTCAACCACCACTGTAGCCAGACACAACCACCACTGTAGCCAGACACAACCACCACTGTAGCCAGACACAACCACCACTGTAGCCAGACACAACCACCACTGTAGCCAGACTCAACCACCACTGTAGCCAGACTCACCACCACTGTAGCCAGACACCACCACTGTAGCCAGACACAACCACCACTGTAGCCAGACACAACCACCACTGTAGCCAGACTCAACCACCACTGTAGCCAGACTCAACCACCACTGTAGCCAGACACAACCACCACTGTAGCCAGACACAACCAGCCACTTTAAGTCATTAAACTAATTTTCACTACCTTCTGGAGTTCGTGACTTTGTTCCGACACACAAAAACTACTGGAGGTGAAGAAGGGCCTGTGAGGAGGGTAATGAGGTACACTGCTGGAGCCTGTGAGGAGAGTAATGAGGGCACACTGCTGGAGCCTGTGAGGAGGGTAATGAGGTACACTGCTGGAGCCTGTGAGGAGAGTAATGAGGGCACACTGCTGGAGCCTGTGAGGAGAGTAATGAGGGCACACTGCTGGAGCCTGTGAGGAGAGTAATGAGGGCACACTGCTGGAGCCTGTGAGGAGGATAATGAGGGCACACTGCTGGAGCCTGTGAGGAGAGTAATGAGGGCACACTGCTGGAGCCTGTGAGGAGGGTAATGAGGGCACACTGCTGGAGCCTGTGAGGAGGGTAATGAGGTACACTGCTGGAGCCTGTGAGGAGAGTAATGAGGGCACACTGCTGGAGCCTGTGAGGAGGGTAATGAGGGCACACTGCTGGAGCCTGTGAGGAGAGTAATGAGGGCACACTGCTGGAGCCTGTGAGGAGAGTAATGAGGGCACACTGCTGGAGCCTGTGAGGAGAGTAATGAGGGCACACTGCTGGAGCCTGTGAGGAGAGTAATGAGGGCACACTGCTGGAGCCTGTGAGGAGAGTAATGAGGGCACACTGCTGGAGCCTGTGAGGAGGGTAATGAGGGCACACTGCTGGAGCCTGTGAGGAGAGTAATGAGGGCACACTGCTGGAGCCTGTGAGGAGGGTAATGAGGGCACACTGCTGGAGCCTGTGAGGAGGGTAATGAGGTACACTGCTGGAGCCTGTGAGGAGAGTAATGAGGGCACACTGCTGGAGCCTGTGAGGAGGGTAATGAGGGCACACTGCTGGAGCCTGTGAGGAGGGTAATGAGGGCACACTGCTGGAGCCTGTGAGGAGGGTAATGAGGTACACTGCTGGAGCCTGTGAGGAGAGTAATGAGGGCACACTGCTGGAGCCTGTGAGGAGGGTAATGAGGGCACACTGCTGGAGCCTGTGAGGAGAGTAATGAGGGCACACTGCTGGAGCCTGTGAGGAGGGTAATGAGGGCACACTGCTGGAGCCTGTGAGGAGGGTAATGAGGTACATTGCTGGAGCCTGTGAGGAGAGTAATGAGGGCACACTGCTGGAGCCTGTGAGGAGGGTAATGAGGGCACACTGCTGGAGCCTGTGAGGAGAGTAATGAGGTCACACTGCTGGAGCCTGTGAGGAGAGTAATGAGGGCACACTGCTGGAGCCTGTGAGGAGAGTAATGAGGGCACACTGCTGGAGCCTGTGAGGAGGGTAATGAGGGCACACTGCTGGAGCCTGTGAGGAGGGTAATGAGGGCACACTGCTGGAGCCTGTGAGGAGTGTAATGAGGGCACACTGCTGGAGCCTGTGAGGAGAGTAATGAGGGCACACTGCTGGAGCCTGTGAGGAGGGTAATGAGGGCACACTGCTGGAGCCTGTGAGGAGAGTAATGAGGGCACACTGCTGGAGCCTGTGAGGAGGGTAATGAGGGCACACTGCTGGAGTCTGTGAGGAGGGTAATGAGGCACACTGCTGGAGCCTGTGAGGAGGGTAATGAGGGCACACTGCTGGAGCCTGTGAGGAGAGTAATGAGGTACACTGCTGGAGCCTGTGAGGAGAGTAATGAGGGCACACTGCTGGAGCCTGTGAGGAGGGTAATGAGGGCACACTGCTGGAGCCTGTGAGGAGAGTAATGAGGTACACTGCTGGAGCCTGTGAGGAGGGTAATGAGGCACACTGCTGGAGCCTGTGAGGAGAGTAATGAGGGCACACTGCTGGAGCCTGTGAGGAGAGTAATGAGGGTACACTGCTGGAGCCTGTGAGGAGAGTAATGAGGGCACACTGCTGGAGCCTGTGAGGAGGGTAATGAGGGCACACTGCTGGAGCCTGTGAGGAGAGTAATGAGGGCACACTGCTGGAGCCTGTGAGGAGAGTAATGAGGGCACACTGCTGGAGCCTGTGAGGAGGGTAATGAGGACACACTGCTGGAGCCTGTGAGGAGAGTAATGAGGTACACTGCTGGAGCCTGTGAGGAGAGTAATGAGGGCACACTGCTGGAGCCTGTGAGGAGAGTAATGAGGGCACCCTGCTGGAGCCTGTGAGGAGAGTAATGAGGGCACACTGCTGGAGCCTGTGAGGAGGGTAATGAGGGCACACTGCTGGAGCCTGTGAGGAGAGTAATGAGGGCACACTGCTGGAGCCTGTGAGGAGGGTAATGAGGGCACACTGCTGGAGCCTGTGAGGAGAGTAATGAGGGCACACTGCTGGAGCCTGTGAGGCACCAGTGTTATGTCACGCACGCCTCGTAAGGGAGCGGCAGGGAAAATCCATTGTGGGGTTTGTGTGTCAGTTTCTTAAATTTACTGAGAATTATGAGGGGTGCCTTGATGACCAGTCCTCAGCTGGTGGTGTGAGGGGCGCCTTGATGACCAGTCCTCAGCTGGTGGTGTGAGGGGCGCCTTGATGACCAGTCCTCAGCTGGTGGTGTGAGGGGCGCCTTGATGACCAGTCCTCAGCTGGTGGTATGAGGTAACGACTGAGATCAATGTTGTGCGTGTGGCGGCTCTTGGGGTGCGTGAGTGTGTGTGGCGGCTCTTGGGGTGCTTGAGTGCGTGTACTAACAACACTGTGTGTGTGGCGGCTCTTGGTGTGCGTGAGTGCGTGTACTAACAACACTGTGCGTGTGGCGGCTCTTGGTGTTCTTGAGTGCGTGTACTAACAACACTGTGTGTGTGGCGGCTCTTGGTGTTCTTGAGTGCGTGTACTAACAACACTGTGCGTGTGGCGGCTCTTGGTGTCCTTGAGTGCGTGTACTAACAACACTGTGCGTGTGGCGGCTCTTGGTGTTCTTGAGTGCGTGTACTAACAACACTGTGCGTGTGGCGGCTCTTGGTGTGCGTGAGTGTGTGTACTAACAACACTGTGCGTGTTTCGGCTCTTGGTGTGCGTGAGTGCGTGTACTAACAACACTGTGTGTTTGGCGGCTCTTGGTGTTCTTGAGTGCGTGTACTAACAACACTGTGCGTGTGGCGGCTCTTGGTGTTCTTGAGTGCGTGTACTAACAACACTGTGTGTGGCGGCTCTTGGTGTGCGTGAGTGCGTGTACTAACAACACTGTGTGTGGCGGCTCTTGGTGTGCGTGAGTGCGTGTACTGACAACACTGTGCGTGTGGCGGCTCTTGGTGTGCGTGAGTGCGTGTACTAACAACACTGTGTGTGTGGCGGCTCTTGGTGTTCTTGAGTGCGTGTACTATCAACACTGTGTGTGTGGCGGCTCTTGGTGTTCTTGAGTGCGTGTACTAACAACACTGTGCGTGTGGCGGCTCTTGGTGTCCTTGAGTGCGTGTACTAACAACACTGTGCGTGTGGCGGCTCTTGGTGTTCTTGAGTGCGTGTACTAACAACACTGTGCGTGTGGCGGCTCTTGGTGTGCGTGAGTGCGTGTACTAACAACACTGTGTGTGTGGCGGCTCTTGGTGTTCTTGAGTGCGTGTACTAACAACACTGTGTGTGGCGGCTCTTGGTGTGCGTGAGTGCGTGTACTAACAACACTGTGTGTGTGGCGGCTCTTGGTGTTCTTGAGTGCGTGTACTAACAACACTGTGCGTGTGGCGGCTCTTGGTGTCCTTGAGTGCGTGTACTAACAACACTGTGCGTGTGGCGGCTCTTGGTGTGCGTGAGTGTGTGTACTAACAACACTGTGCGTGTTTCGGCTCTTGGTGTGCGTGAGTGCGTGTACTAACAACACTGTGTGTTTGGCGGCTCTTGGTGTTCTTGAGTGCGTGTACTAACAACACTGTGCGTGTGGCGGCTCTTGGTGTTCTTGAGTGCGTGTACTAACAACACTGTGTGTGGCGGCTCTTGGTGTGCGTGAGTGCGTGTACTAACAACACTGTGTGTGGCGGCTCTTGGTGTGCGTGAGTGCGTGTACTGACAACACTGTGCGTGTGGCGGCTCTTGGTGTGCGTGAGTGCGTGTACTAACAACACTGTGCGTGTGGCGGCTCTTGGTGTCCTTGAGTGCGTGTACTAACAACACTGTGCGTGTGGCGGCTCTTGGTGTGCGTGAGTGCGTGTACTGACAACACTGTGCGTGTGGCGGCTCTTGGTGTGCGTGAGTGCGTGTACTAACAACACTGTGCGTGTGGCGGCTCTTGGTGTTCTTGAGTGCGTGTACTAACAACACTGTGTGTGTGGCGGCTCTTGGTGTGCGTGAGTGCGTGTACTAACAACACTGTAGTAACCTGTGTGTATTATACAGGACCACAAGCCAGGCTCGGGCTTATCTACACTAAACCCTGTGTATGGAGTGTTCCTTCATCACTTTACTTATCACAGTCTTCAATTTACTCACTATTTTGACACAAGCAATTTTTTATGATGGTTCTGTGAGTCATTTGTTAACGTAAGTTTTCATTTTATTAGTCTTTCCTCGTAACTAATTTTCTCAACTGTGTAATTATTTTGTTGACCTACTTCTGAACTTTCTCAAGTTAATCTTGTAATTAACGAGGTAATAACATCAATATCAATCCCTTAGTCATTTTTTCTGTTCGTGGAGGATTTTCTCTCCTATGTGGTACCTTGTGTTGGCCTTCTCTTCCCCCCCACATAACTTCATTACCTTGCATTTGCTTCAGTTCATATCCAGTGGCCACCAACTTGACCAGTCTTTAATTTGTTTTAATATCTTTCAGTCTTCCATCATTGTTATCCTCCTCGTAATTAGCAATAATTGATTGAAGAAAACTCTCTCCTCTGGTAAGTCATTCACTCACATTAGCAACTGGAATTATTGAAGTATTGAATCCAATTGGACGCCATTGTTAGCTCTTTACAAGTCTGCGATTTCTCTTCTCAATGTGACATCTCTGTATTATGTATATTATGTATATATATATCTGTTATACTATATAATATATCTGTTATACATAGTATTATACATCATCTCTGTATTATGACATATACGTACTCCTTTATCCACTAGGTGACCATCCCAGTCATTCAAGGCTGTTTCTTCATCTCGAGCATAAGTTTCCTCTGGTGGAACTGTGTCGACGTTGTCCTCACACACTTAAAATATGAAGTTTACCTATTTGTCTCTGTATTTCGGCAGCTCGAGACCATCTACGGGCTCACCATAGCCCGTGTTACTTGGAACTTTTTGTTCCAGGTAGCGAATCTTTAACAACAACAACAACAGCTCGAGATTAAACTCTTGTATGCTCTTTACTTCCTCAATTGCCTGTCGTTATTGACCTCTGTTCTGTGCTCTCTTTATTTCTTCCTCTGTTTTCTTACATCTGATCTTTGCCTCCAAGCAAAACCATGGCCATATATTTTGTTGGTTCTTTTATCTCTTTGAGACTGTGTAATTCTTGCTTCAGGTTCCTTGTGCTTGTTAGTTATCAAGTCCACCATGTCTGGTGTGTTTTCGTCTCTTCTAATTCCCCCCATCATGGTGTCTCTTAAGAATTGTCTGACCTTCTGATGTTAACTTTTATAGTGAAATAATCTCTCCTCTTTTTCTCTTGCCACAGTCGTTATCCGAACAACATTATCAACACTCCGAACACTCAACTTCGAACACTGAACTCCGAATAATCAACACGGAGTAGAGAGGCCCTCATTGGCAATTTAAATTTTGCTACAAATTACTTATTCAAAATTATCTGTTAGATTAACGACCTGTCCGAAATGCTGTGTGTGTTACTGGCTTCACAAGAATGTAAAAACATCAATGTTATGTACTCTCATAAACCCATTGTACCTTCTTGTATATATATATATATATAAATAAATTCATCTCTGGTGTTCGCAATCTTGGTGCGTGTACCAGCCATATGAAGCTATGATTCCTGATCTCTTTTTCCCATGGCTATCCAATGATTCCTGGTCAGTTTGACAATGATTGAAGACTCCAACTTCGTTCTCAATCCAGGGAATATTTCTACTTAACATTGGATGTGTGTGTGTGTGTGTGTACTCACCTAGTTGTGTTTGCGGGGGTTGAGCTCTGGCTCTTTGGTCCCGCCTCTCAACCGTCAATCAACAGGTGTACAGATTCCTGAGCCTATCGGGCTCTGTCATATCTACACTTGAAACTGTGTATGGAGTCAGCCTCCACCACATCACTTCCTAATGCATTCCATTTGTCAACCACTCTGACACTAAAAAAGTTCTTTCTAATATCTCTGTGGCTCATTTGGGCACTCAGTTTCCACCTGTGTCCCCTTGTGCGTGTGCCCCTTGTGTTAAATAGCCTGTCTTTATCTACCCTATCAATCCCCTTCAGAATCTTGAATGTGGTGATCATGTCCCCCCTAACTCTTCTGTCTTCCAGCGAAGTGAGGTTTAATTCCCGTAGTCTCTCCTCGTAGCTCATACCTCTCAGCTCGGGTACTAGTCTGGTGGCAAACCTTTGAACCTTTTCCAGTTTAGTCTTATCCTTGACTAGATATGGACTCCATGCTGGGGCTGCATACTCCAGGATTGGCCTGACATATGTGGTATACAAAGTTCTGAATGATTCTTTACACAAGTTTCTGAATGCCGTTCGTATGTTGGCCAGCCTGGCATATGCCGCTGATGTTATCCGCTTGATATGTGCTGCAGGAGACAGGTCTGGCGTGATATCAACCCCCAAGTCTTTTTCCTTCTCTGACTCCTGAAGAATTTCCTCTCCCAGATGATACCTTGTATCTGGCCTCCTGCTCCCTACACCTATCTTCATTACATTACATTTGGTTGGGCTAAACTCTAACAACCATTTGTTCGACCATTCCTTCAGCTTGTCTAGGTCTTCTTGAAGCCTCAAACAGTCCTCTTCTGTTTTAATCCTTCTCATAATTTTAGCATCGTCCGCAAACATTGAGAGAAATGAATCGATACCCTCCGGGAGATCATTTACATATATCAGAAACAAGATAGGACCGAGTACAGAGCCCTGTGGGACTCCACTGGTGACTTCACGCCAATCGGAGGTCTCACCCCTCACCGTAACTCTCTGCTTCCTATTGCTTAGATACTCCCTTATCCACTGGAGCACCTTACCAGCTACACCTGCCTGTCTCTCCAGCTTATGTACCAGCCTCTTATGCGGTACTGTGTCAAAGGCTTTCCGACAATCCAAGAAAATGCAGTCCGCCCAGCCCTCTCTTTCTTGCTTAATCTGTGTCACCTGATCGTAGAATTCTATCAAGCCTGTAAGGCAAGATTTACCCTCCCTGAATCCATG